CAGAGTCATGTGATAAGAGACAGAGTCATGTGATCAGAGACAGAGTCGTGATCAGAGACAGTCATGTGATCAGAGACAGTCATGTGATCAGAGACAGTCATGTGATCAGAGACAGTCATGTGATCAGAGACAGTCATGTGATCAGAGACAGAGTCATGTGATCAGAGACAGAGTCATGTGATCAGAGACGTGATCAGAGACAGAGTCGTGATAAGAGACAGAGTCATGTGATCAGAGACGTGATCAGAGACAGTCATGTGATCAGAGACGGGATCAGAGTCATGTGATAAGAGACAGAGTCATGTGATCAGAGTCATGTGATCAGAGACATGTGATCAGAGACGTGATCAGAGACAGAGTCGAAAATAATTTGCGAAAATTTATTTCATATTGTTACTTATCTCTTTTGGCCCTAAGAAAAATATTTCAACATTGAGGGGGAAAAAAAAAAAAATATATATATATATATATATATATATATATATATTTATTTTATTTTTTTTTTTTTTCAATATTTTTGATTTTATGAGTTGTATCTCCCAGGATATGTTGCTCTATTAAGGTACAAATAGAGCTGAAATGATAAACTTATTAATGTTCAATTTGATTAAGGTAAATTGTACATTATTGTATTCTTGGGTCATTTACATCACATGTAGCACGTTCAAAGTTGATTTCATTCAGTTTTACCAATCCAGCTTAGTAATCTCATAACAAAGCATTCTCAACATTTCATGACAAACATATGGAAGTGTTTGTCATGAAATGACATAAACAACAACACAGCAGTGTTTTCTTCAACCATGCATACACGGCTGAACACTGGAGAAGGTTTTAAGGGTCCAGGTTTTCCATAATGGGGGGAGCTCTATGAACAATGACCCTCAGTCTATTTTTCATTTTGTATGAAACGCTTGAAAGCACTTGTGTGGATTTTTCCCTGCACAGACGAACACCACATTTTGTGCAGTAGATTGTCGTCTGTCCTTCGGGGCAAAGCCTGCACCTTCCCTTGTCTGTGAAAGTTGGGAAGTGATCTACTCGATCATCATCCGTGGGTCTTGGGGTCGTTGGCCTTTGTATGCATCTGCTGGGGCTGTGCACATTCTCTTCCCCTCCCTTAGAAGATCTTCCCTTCTTCTTTCCACTGTGGATAAGGGCATCTGCAACCTCCAGCCTGAATGTTTTTATTTATTTAATTTATTCATTTCATTGCATTAAAACCATAACAACTCAAAAATAATAATAAAAATGTATACAGTCAAAATAAAATGAAAGGCAGCAGAAGAAGAATGAATCTTATAAAATCTGCCCCTTTTTTACCCTTACTGTCTTGTTACCAAAGAAAAACAAAAAGCAAGACGTGCAACAACTTCAGAGATTTAACATCAAGTAAAGAACAACATCATCAACTCAAACAATAACTTTAGTGGATTCAATTTGGAGTTTTTTGTATTCTGTCAAATAACTCTCCTTTAATATTCTCTTAAATATATGTTGAGATCTGGCATTTTTAAATGTATCCTCCAGACCATTCCATAATCCTATCCCCTGGATTACAGAGGATCGTTCTTTTAAACTAGTGCTAAAATAAGGCTTCACAAACATTTCTATCCCTTGAAGAAAATAAACACTCTCCCTTTTAATAAAATGTACTTGAATATTGACGGGCAATATGATTTTATGAGCCCTATACATAATCTGCAAAATGCTGTAATTGACCAAATCATAGAATTTCAATATCTGGAGTTGACAAAACAATACATTTGATGGATGTCTTAATTTTTGTCTGGTGATAATTCGTACTGCTCTTTTCTGTCAAATAAAAAGTGGGTTTGTAATTGTTTTACATGCTTTACCCCAGACTTCGATACAGTATTTTAAATGAGGAACAATTAGTGCATTATACAACATAAATAGTGCTTTTTCATTAAATAACTCCTTTACTTTGTACAGAATTGCTATCGATTTTGCTACTTTTGTTCTTAAGTTATTTATATGAGATTTCCATGTCAATTTTTCATCAATAATAACACCCAAGAACTTCACCTCATTAACTCTAAGAATCTCAGTTCTTTCTACCATAAATGGAGCATCAACTTTTCTTTTACTATTACTGAATATCATATAATATGTTTTATCTAGATTTAATGATAATTTATTCAGATGAAACCAATTTTGAATTTTTACAAATTCTATTTGTGTTGTTTTCAGCGTTTGTTCTATATCTTTACCCTGACAAAAAAAAGTTGTATCATCTGCAAATAAAATACATCTAAAAAGACCTGACACATTTACTAAGTCGTTTACATATAAATTAAATAACTTGGGTCCAAGTACTGAACCCTGGGGCACTCCACACGTGATATTACAAAACTCAGATCTTCTGTCATGTAGTTGAACAAACGGTTTCCTTCCTTCTAAATAACTATTTACCCATTTTAATGCTGGCCCTCTAATACCATATCTATACAACTTCTCAAGAAGAATCCCGTGGTCTATAGTATCGAAGGCCTTCCTTAAATCAACATAAATACTAATACAACACTTTTTTAGCAGTTGTTATTTGTTCCATAAATTCAATGAGTGCCATTG